ATTTTCAAGATAGTAATTTATTTGTAAAACATTCTTTCGAGACGGAACACACAATTAATTGCTTAAATTGCCCTAATTTACAATGAGCAACCAATTAATTAAAACTTGATTTATCCTCTGATCGCTATTTTTGGTAATAATAACATTCTTACAATCTTGTCCTATTGAACATATACATTAATATAACAAATATTTCGGTAAGACACTCGTTGTCTGCAATAATAATAACTGTTTCCATTTGCGCGGCATAATTTTTATCAAACTTATTAGTTATTTTTGAAACACTGTCCCATACTTCTCTAGCACCAGAACTCTCTAACACAGCAGGACCGTCAATTCTAAATGCAGACTTTTATTTCAAACTCCCAATTTTTTTCTTTCAGTACATCTCTTCGAGCATTGTTTTCTTTGCTGATTGCTTAGAGTAAGTTCTGGACCGGGCACACAGCAATTCTAGTGAAACTCCGATATTAGGTTTTTCAACAAAAACTTTTGATTACTCAGCTGGTTTCGTATTTTTAACATACTCTTTAAAATTTTGAGTTTGTGAAGACAACGACTCTGTGAAACGCAGCTCCCGAAATAAACACAATAATTGCTGCTATGAAAGCATGATGCTTAACGGAAGCAGAGTAATACTTAAATTCGTACTATATATTAGTGCACGTACTTAACTAGATCAATTAGTACACTATAACAATACATCGACTCGAAGATTTATGTTTGTTCGTAACTTTTAATGAATCAATATCCATATAAGATTACGAAATACTGTAACTACTTTCTTTTCCTATACAGCTTGGTTTCTTGCTTCTCTACATCTTTAAGATCACTGATTGCAAAATTTTATCATCCCCATTACTACCTATTTCCCCTGATAGTAATCAATTTCGTTTGAATTCTTAAGGAAACAGCCAACATTTTCTTTGACCTCAATTTTTAAATTACTTCCTTATTTTCAATCAAGGTCACTTTTAACAGCACTCTTCTGAGAAATCAATTTTTCTAACTGAGGGTTTTTAATCAAGTCACTTCTTTTTTAACCAGTTTTTGAAAATTTAGTTTTTTAAACGTTTAATTTCTGCTTCTTTGTTGCTTTGTCTTTTACGTCAATATTTAGAGTTTCTAAATGG